AGCCGTGTGTCTGTGTCTCTTACAGTTTCCGAAATGACGCACAATACCGAGAAGCTGTTCATAGCCCTGGGGCCAATCCTGCAGAGCACAAGCATACGGGTGAGTCTGGAACCATGGCCAACGCGGCCAAAGCTAGTGAATGTCTGCCTGCCAGTGCAGAGCCTGCCGGGACCCTGTGCATCGAAACACATGACCCATCAGTGCTCCATAGTGTAGGGCAGAAGGTGGGGGAGAGAATCCCTGCAGGGCTCCGGCTGCATTGTCATCTCTGGGCTGCCTAGCAGTATTTCACCAAACCCCCCGCTGAGAAAGGATCCCAGCCTGGACTGGGAGGGGACAAGGTCCCTCCACACTGTGTGCAAATCATTTCTGTTTCTGTCTGGGTCTGGCAGGTCAGAGAAGCCCTTGCTTATTTTATAAGGACAATGGGGGCGCATGGGCTCTTGGAGAAATCTGCCTCAAGACCCTTAATTGACTTCTTGGTGCGTCAGTGCACCCTGACCCTCGACAGCACGGTAAGAATCCGCAGAGACCTTAGTGACGGGAGTCTGTGAACAGGGCAGAACATGGGGTCAAGGGATAGGGAAGGGGGGCAGCTGAAGATGGGGAGGGGCAGGCGATGGGCAGCAAATAGGACTTGGGAAGCAGATGGAACTGGGGACGGCACCCTCCGTCTACTGATGGAAGATGCTGACAAATAGAAGACAGTGTTTTTTCCTCCCAGCCCATTCTCTCTGATCCCTCTCCCAGCTGCCATCCGGGCTCTGTCCCTCGCGCAGGGAGGGCAGGACCCCTGGCTTCCTCCTTCTCTCGCTTCACTGTGATCATCCACCTTAGGAAACTAAGCCATGATGGATCTGGTTTTCACCAGGCAGAGGGGTGGAGCCTAGAACTGGCTCCACACAGACCCTGGGCTGCTTATGGCACAGTCACAGCCAGGGTTGCGCCTTTTCTCTTCAAGCCCCATTTTCACCCCCTGCCATGCCCACTAGAGTTACCGTGCCACGGAGGTCTCCACCGAATCTAAATCTCCCTGGTGTCTCCCTTACTTCTCACCATCAGGAGGAAGCAGATGGGAGGCGCTCCATGGAGCTCGAGGTCCGCCAGCTCTGCTCCAGCACCCTGCAGTCCCTGGCTGACTCCCCCAGAATGGCCAATGTAAGTGACCCTGCCCCTCTCCATTGGACACAGGCCTCTCTGGGTCTGAGCTTTTCGATGAGACAGGCCCCAACCAGACTTATTTATCTGAGCCTCCCCGCTCCAGAACATCATGGGGTTGGGTAAAATGGACCCCGGATCCGAGCCAGACCTGGGTCTTTGGAACAGGGAACACTCACTGGCTGAGTGCCCCTGCACGCCAGCGTTTGGTGTCACAGGGGCTCTTCCGCTCGAGTATCCCCTGTGGTCAGTCATGCTGGTTCTGCAGCTTCCATAGCTCAGTCCCTCTTCATTGGTCCTTCTGTTAACTTCTCCCTGGCTGTTACAGGGTGGGGTCTATACAGCCCATCACATTCTTGTCTTGCAAAAGCCAACCCTAGCCCAGGAGTTCCTGCCTCTCACCCACACTACCCTGGTGCCTACGGGAGAGTCCACTGAGCTGGGAGACACTACATCCAAATCTCATCTCTGCCGACTATTGCTTAGGTTTCCACACACTGCACAGACCTGATTACTGACCCAGGCGTCAGAACGCAAGCCTAAGCAGTCAAGTATTAGCCAGCCCCCTTCCCACACTGAACAAATTAACAGCGAGGTTGCGCACAGTCACTTCAGGCAGAGCTGAGACTAGAAGCCACATTTCTAATAAGGCAGACCCAAGTATTGTGCACTCAGCTACACTGTCTTTCAGATTGAGCATGCCCAATATAGGTGCTTTAGTTACTACAGGTGGGGATAGACCCCCGGGGATTCCTGATCTCCACTGTTCTATACTGTCTAGCAAAGAGTTGTGTAACCCTCTGGCACAGTGTGTGTTAAGTCCCCCTCTTGTCCACACAGCAGACAGCAATTGCGTCTGTGCTTCAAGTGGCGCAGGTCTGTGTGGGGATGTGAAGGTCAGAGCTCAAACCTCCCTGAGCGCCTGTCATGGTTTCACTTGACAGTATTGGGTTTCCTAGTCTCCTCTTTATTTATCAAGCTGGTGTATTGCGTTCCTGCCGTGAGAACACAGCCTTTCCCAGTGGGACTGGAGTTAGGAAATACTGTGCTGTCAATGATGATGCTACACTCAACAAAAAGCGGGGGGGTCAGTCATGTGTCACTTGATTTGGTGCTGGAGGCAGACACTGGTAGGTGTGAAGGGGGAGGGGGTGGGGATCGCTGCATGGTTCAGGCTGGGTAGAGAGGTCTGGCTGGCGGTGGCGAGGCCAGGGGTCCTGTCTAGTGTAGGAAAGAGAGAGCTGGTGCAGGAAGAGGATATTTCCGTACTGAGATGGCTTTTCTCTGCTCTGCAGGTTTTATGGCCTGGGCTGCTCCTTCAACTGAGCCCAGCAGCCCATGGGCCAGCCCTGCCTCTCCTCCTGCAGACCTCGGTCGAGGTGGTAAAGAGGATGCAGGAGGAAGGCAGGCTGCCCTTGGCCAGGAGGTGCGGCAAGGCGAACAGAGGTGAGTCCCAGTATTTTATCCACCCGCTCTTAGTCCTTCTGTAGCGAGAGGCGTCTGCCCCCAGGTTGGGGTGGGGATCAGCTCTTGGCTCTGGTTCCGGCTCACTGCAAGGACACAGCCAGCCGTCAAGGGCACAGGTAGAGCTCAGAGACCAATGCAAAAGATCCCTCCAGAGCCTGATGGGATGTCCCCCCTTTCTGTTCACAGGGTGTCGGTCAAGCCCCAAGTCCACTCTACCCCAGGAGCTGCTGGCTCGGCTGCTGGTGAGTAACCCGCAGCCAGGAGGTTCCTTATGCTCAGTGGCAAGGGGCCGCTCCTGGAGCTGGCATGCAGTGTGTGGTGGCTCTTCTCCCCGCGGCCCCCAGAGGAGCTGGCTCGTCACATTCCTCGCGTTCATTGCACATCGACCCAGCGCCTCTCGGCATTTAACAGAACCAGCGAGCTCTCTGAGCCAGCCACCTTCCTGGCTCCCCGATCCTGGGGCTGGACCAGGTCCCCCAGCACCAGTCAGTGCAGCCCTCGGACGGCTCCAATAGAAGGCAGCTGGAATGAGCCCTTAGGGACTGTTGTGCAGGCCCCCTCCTGCCCCCTGGCCTCCAGCATCCTCCCTTACCAAGGGGCAGCTGGGGATTCCCTTTATGGCCCAGCTGCCTCTTTCGGGCTGCTTCAAGCTCCCCTTGTGCTGCTCTAACCTAGGCCAAGGATCTGACTCAGCAGCTGCCTGACGGCCTCTGGATAATCCTGTCTCCCTTCATCTGAGCTAGAGCCAGCCCAGGAGTGAGAGGATGGAAGGAGCCAATAGCTGGTCCATGGAGTGTCCCTGATCAACTGAAATATCCATCTCCATCCTGTCCTGGTTGTCAGCTCCACCTCCCTGCTGTCTCCTTCCCTCCATCACTGAGCTCTCCCCCTGCACCTGTAGGGAGCTCCCTTCTCACACTGCCTCGCAAGGGAGGGGTACAGCCACCTCTGCCTCTTTGTCCGCCAGGTGCTCGGTGCGTCTTCGTCTATGACGGTGCAGGTCAGAAGGGCAGCCATGTTCCTCCTCTTCCAGCTGATGAGCATGTTCCAGGCCGGGTCGGGCCAGTTCTGGAATAGCTACAAGACGGAAATGCTCCTCTATGTGGAAGGTGAGGAGGGAGTGTCTCCCCTTGCAGGAGCAAAGGGAGGGGACACCGTGATGCTGGGCTCAGAGAGGGAGAGGCCAGGGCCTCCCTCTGAATCCAGTATAATATGATGCTGTGACCTTGGAATCAGAGAGGATCACGTCAGGATCATATCCCTTGGTTCATCTAGCCCAGCCCCCCATGCCTAGACAGGAAGGATCCTTTCCAGGACCGTCATTCGACATCTCACACCCTGGGGAAGGATCTTGGCAAGCAGAACTCCTGGGTATTTCACATCAAGGGGTTTGGGTCTGAGGAGCATTGTTGTCCATCAGCAATTTTCAAAGAGCCATGGGTCCCCTCGGGGCCCGTGAGTCGGCAGCTCCTCCCCACCCCCTGCCAAACAAGAGCCAAGTTGAAGGCTGCTCCTCAGTAGAAGGGTCTAAACACAAAGGAAACTGACCTGCCCATCTCTTCCAGATCACAAGACCTGCTTCTGCCAGAGGGAGTGGGAGCAGCAGCTGCTGCAGGTAAGGGTCAGAGAAATGGAGGGCTGGAAAGGAACTCAAGAGGTCATTTAGTCCAGCCCCCTCCACGCTGAGGCAGGATTAAAAGGCCCCTCAGCAGCACTACATTGTGGGACAGAGGAAGCGGCTGAGTCCAGCAGATGCAATTGGAGAAGCACCAGGGGCAGCTCACAAGGATTCAGAAGCATTAGGAGAGACGTGGGGGGTGA